AGAGGTTGTTTGTGCCTGCCGCCGCCGGGCTTAGATGAGGGCGCAGGGCCTGTTGGCCAAATGGCCGGCAGCTTTGCTGATAAAGCCCCATTGATTCCGTTTATAATTCGTAACAAACGGGCCGCATTCGGCCAATTGCGCCATACGCCGAATGTGCGCCACATATACGGGTAATACTCAATGTCCCCTGTACCTCAAAAATATGATATTTGCGATTACGTGAGGCTTTTGGGGGTTTAGTGTACTGGTACGCCGGTTTGTAGTAGGTCACGGTTCAGTTTGTATATCTGGCCCAATCGCGAGGCGTTAAGCATTTAGTTTGCTTTTTGCCCATTGCGAACAATCAGATTTTATGCAATTCCCCATGCTTGAGATACAATTATTGAACTAAAGAAACCTGTCGAATAGATCAGCGCTCGATAGCAGCGATTCCGTGTAAACCAACACCTCAAATCGCACACCTGATAAAAACAAAAAACAAAAATGTGGCTGGAATGCGTTGTTGACAACAGAAGATTATGCGAATGCTCAAATATTTGTGTTCGACTTTTGTTTCTACTTGCCTACTTGCCTCCATGTTGGATCTTTCAATTAAGGAAATGCCATTTCGACTAATATCTCGGCGATATTTGACTGATATCAGCACTGAAATTACGGAATATTTTCGTATTGTGATTTCATTGATTGTTCCGTGAAAGTTATTGACACTTCCCTGCACAGTGAAAAATATACGATTGTACGACATTTTTACTGACCATATCAATCTTAAATGGCAAAAAGGAATGCCAGATAGCCACTTGCTCTTTATAGCTTTGCATAATCGGATATGACTACATTTCCGAAGGAAGTTATTAAAATATAAACCACATTTCCTGTTAAGACAGAAAGTGTTATAAATTTCGCAGGAAATGCATTTTTTTTATGAATATTATCAATTATTGTAATCTTTCGACACTTGGTTGAAAAGAAGGCTTCTTTCATTTTATACATTCATTCATTTGAAATGACTGAAATTATGGAAAATGATAAATTAAAGGCTAAAGGCTCTATTAAAGGCTAAATTCTTATTTATTTTCGCAACATTTTTCTAAAATTTCTTATTTTCTTTACATTACCTTGACGGTGACGTCACAAACGGCAAGCCAAAGGCGGATGGGCGTGGCTGAAGCATAGTGAAATGAGACAGAATTGGACATGCAAAATGCCGACAATAAAATGTGGCAAGTCATCGTAAATCCCGTCACAGTTGTCGGTTAGCCGGCGGCTAAAAGGGCATTCACAGGGCCGAGGTGAAAGCGGCAGAGTGCAGTTAACAAAAAAAAAAAAAAAAAAAACAACAAATAAAAGGTGCCTGAGGTGGCAGACGCGATCAAAAGATTGTTGACAGGACATTTTTGTGTTGCGTCATGTTAAATAAAAGCCAAGGCACAGGACATGGACACGACCGTAGCTTCCGGTGCAGCCAGGACAAAGCCAACGACGACGGCAGCGACGGCTACTCGCCTGCAGCCTTGCGGTTTTTCAATTGAAAACTGGGTGGCACAAACGACTCGACCCAGACGCAGTCCTGTTGCGGTCAATGTGGTTGTAAATTAATACAAACAAGCAAAAATCCTGCAATCGGCTATAACTGACTACGCAATGCTCGTTCACAGAGCAACGAGAACTGAAAACATGCTACCCGACAAATTTGTTTTGCGATAATACATTTAAATTCCGGTTTGGAGTAGCTCGTCTTGAGTCTTCATTCCGGATTTGGATAGTCTATCATGTAATATAGTATAAAGCGGCTTAAGGAGGCGTTGCTGGACATGTTTAAGGAAAAGTTGGATCGATCTTAGAAGGAAGTCGATCTAAATTGAAAGACTTTTTTTGGATTTTGCCGTCAGCTAGCTTTAACTTTAAGTCTAATGTGGACAATATCTGTACATATTCAAAATTTCAAATCTATAGCAAAACCAATATGCTCTCCCTTCGCTTTCTGAACGTGTATTAAAATGTACAAAATATTTAGGGGGCCTGGCCACGCACTGGAAGTCGAGGAAGTCTCCATGTTTTCCTGGCCAAGAACATGCGCTAAGTCTGCGCCTTGACTTTGGATTTGAAACCTTGCAGTAGGTCTGTATGTACATATACGTGTATATATATGTATATATTTATTGGCAGATGCAACGCCTGGTGGTCGTCGGCTGTCGCCACATTCCACAGCCATTCCACGGCACAGATAGTGGGTACAAGTCTGTTCTGTCCTAAATTAGCAGCTGGTCACTAATTGCCGTTCAAATTGTTTGAACTGTTTATTAACAACAAAGTCAGCCTCAGGTCAGCTTTAACAGTTGGGCCAGTTGGTCAAGTTGCTCAGCTCCGCACTGTTCGGCTCCGTGTCTGGGCTTGGATCTGCGACTGTCATTTGCCAAGGGCTCGCGTTTTGATTAATGGTCGCCACATTGCATCGCGTGTTTGTTGACAAATGTGTGTCAATGATATATAACTGGCGGAGCATTTGGGCTCTCACTCTGAAGCCTGGCAACCTTGATTAAGCGTGACCTAATCTATGGAAACCATAACGAAAGCACATCTGGCCCATTGCCTGGCTGTGGAATATTTACCAATTCAAATATTACATGGAATTTTCATGAATTAATTAATTTGCAGTCTTTAGAAGCTATATGGTGCAATATTATATGATGCCTATTTAAAACAAAAATAAAGTGTTGCTGATTTGCCTTAGAAACTGCTTCGACATGTTTAAGGCGCAGATAGCTATTCTATGCGATTTTCATGAAATCAGGTACTGCAACTACTTAAGAGAACTTGATTATTTCAATATTAGAACATATGTATCTATATTTGAACTAAGGTGATTGTCTTTTTGTTTGTATTTATTTCTCTGTTATATTCTCTCTCTCTGTTATTTTTTACCAACGCCTCTCTACGCGATTTTCGTGTTCCTTATTCAAATTGTGGATATTAGGAGAGAGGATATCAAAATCAAATTGAAATAGAAAACGTATAAAAATGATGTTGAAATGATCTTCAATACACAACTGTCAATTAAAATTAGAATGAGAAACTTGACTCGATGCGTTAATTTTTGGTTACACAAATTAGATTTAATTGTCAATTTACAAAGTTCCAACCTGATCTGATCAAATGACCTATTCCGCCTGCCCTTGCTCGCCAGGAAACTTGAACTAATTTTAAACGTTTTGTAAACTGCATAAATTACTTGTGTAAATCATTTACAGTGGTGTATGTGTTGGGTTGGTTGAGAATGGTTGGAATGAAGCTGCCTTCATTTGCAGTTGCAACAATTTGAAATAAATTAAGTCCGACCGGGCACGACTCCAATAGACGATAGTTGGCTGAATGCTCTCGGATGCTGGGATAGTGGTTCGATCAAGTGACGCTAATGGCCACAACAAACAAAGCAAACGATGCGGCTGATGCTTACAGGGCACAAGCTGAGCAACAAAAACAACAAATTGATCAATTCATAAAATGATGAAAACGTTTAGCCAAAGAAAGTGTTGAGGGGCGTGTGGGGCAGGGGCAGGCAGCATCATGTAAGCGTCATCACATCGCCAAACGTCAATTTTAATCACCTCTGATAGGCTATAGTGAGGCAGTAGCAAGTGGCAAGTGGCAAGTGGCACCACCACACAGATCGCCAGTTGGTTGCGACACATGAAGTGCAGAGTTTTTCACTTGCGTTGGCGATTGTCACGATCGATGGCGCTGGCGACGCGCTGCCGCTGAAATGAATACATTCAAATAAGAAATCAAGTTCGTTGTCTGTCCAAGTCGTGTCTACTTGCAACAATGTCAATAGCAACAGCAACAGCAAGAGCAGCGGCAGCCGCCAGCTTGCAACGTGCAGCGTTGTGGGGCAAGCGCTGGCTACATTGTCGCCGCTGTCAACGTTTGTCAACTGCACGCGGCTGTGGCAAGTGCCAGCACCACCAGCCTGCAACATGGGTGGCCACTGGCTCTGGCTATGGCTATGGCTCTGGCTCTGGCTCCAGCAACAGCGTTGACAGTTCCCGCGTATCGGCTGCCACCACCGGATAAGGCGTTTTTCACATTACTCAGCGGTGAGCGTTGCTGGTTGGCGGAAATTCTTGCCCAGAACCTCGGCCAGAAATTGGAAAAACGCCCATGAAAATTCTTTTAGCTTGGCCCGTTGGAGATCTCTGTGATTGGCGCCTAATTTGGTGCAAAATTCAAATGTTCACCGATGGATTTAGTCTCCGGGGCTCTTTTAGAAAGTAATTGTGGCATTTGTGGCATGAATGAGCACTGGCAGCATGTGGGTTGCTCTGGATCTGTCGCTCGTGTTGCCTGTTTTCCATTTGTTGTTGTTGCTGTCTTTGCTGTTATAAATGGTCATTTGATTGTCGAACCAGTTCTGGACTCTGGCTTCTTGCCGTTGCAATGAGTTATTTTGTTATTTGGTAGCAGCGGTCAGCTCTTGCAAGGCAACTGTTCAAAGAGTTTTTACTTGATTGTTACAGCTTTCTTTAATTTATTCAGTGTCAATTCGTTGCGAGTGCCTAAAAAGTCGACTCCGTTTGGGAGCACAGCACCTCTCCAAAAATATGCTCTTATGGAAATTTTTATTTATTTATTTCTATAAATAAAAGAGTTTGGCCTGACTAACTGACTTTTGGTCAACGCAGCTGTGGTTTTTCTTTTGGTTCAAGATAAAGTACTGAGACGAGGATTACATTTTCAAGGGGACGTAAGCGCTAATCAAAGTTTCTATGAAAAATATCAACATCAACAGCAATGCAGGCATTCGAGTGTTCTTAGACGACTTGAGACTGCAAGACTTGGCTGTCTACGAATCGGACCAACAAGCGAAAGAGCGCTAGTTAAATTTTTGTTTATTATATTTGTTTCTAAAATTTATTATTTGTCACAAGCTTAATTTATGCTATTTTAAATCCAGATATTTACAGATAAATAAATTTATAGATAAATATGCACTTACCCAAGAATTCATATGGTTATTTAATTAACATCTATCAGTAAGAGGGTAACTGGGACTAATTTCCACACACCACTGAAAGAAGAAAGGAGAAGAAAGCGGCTAAGAGAAAAATATAAAGTAAAATATGAGAATGCAGAGAAGAGATAGAACGAAGAGAGATAGAAGAGAAATATAAGTGGGAGTGGAAGATTGATCGCCAGCACAACTTTTGCATATAAAAGTCTCTAGATGGATTTATAAGAATCACATGGAAGGTTCAAATAAGTAAAAGGTTTTTTTTTATTTGCAGTGGAATGGCTCGAAATATAAAATAAAGCAAATTTATTATGGCATGTGTTTAGTATAATAAAACATATGTACGCTTTGTATAACCCTTGCTTGCCCGGGCCAAGTTTGTATATTTAAATTATAAAATAGAAGTTTACAGCGCCATTTGCTTAACGAAGCTGCTAAACGCATTTCAAATACCATTACATATCATTGGCTCACAGCTAGCGCTTCGATGCAGTGCTTATTGGTTGCTAAATCAAGAAGTTGGCTATCATAAATCAAGGGCAGGATCCCTGCACGATCCTGGGGCACCGACTACTAATAAGCAAAATGAAAAATGTGCCACGCCCATGGGCCACTTAATTGTTGGCAAACAAAATGAATGCATAATTAGTTTTGTCAAAGGCAGCCCAGAAGCCCTGCCCAGAGACTGGAGTCTGAAACAGAGACTGAAACTGAAATTGTGGACTGCAGCCAAGTTCAGGTTATTTATGTTTGTTGGGGCTGCCTTTTATGCATATAATGCATTTTTTTCCATTCATTTTTTGTTTTTATCTTTTTTGTGAACTTAACTAAAATGCATTTTTAATAATTTCATTAGGCCACAGCGAAGCGAGTTCTGCCGTCCAGCAGCCGGGCCGGGCTCGTTCTTGACGGTTGTCTGGATGTGGCTAAAGATGTCAACTCGACTGGTCAAACGATATGCCATAATTTGAATGTGCACGGTCAGCACGTTATAGAGACATTGTGAGACTTCGAAGAGACATCAGACTAGATAGTTTCTCACCGATAAACTGGGCGACCAAGAAACGGAAAATTTATTCCATTGTAATTGCCAGTGCCGTTTACCGTTGAATGTCTCACTCGATAACTTAATTGGAATTTATATTATCATTGCTTTGATCAATGTCTTTCAGCTTTTGGGGTTCTCTTCGAAATTCAGGCTATAGGCTTTTATGGCCATGGCCTGATAGGCATCTGGGAGTTGGGTTCAACATAATTTATGCATAATGTCTTAAATGAGCTTTTAGTTTGAAATAACAATTTTCCACGTTCAAAAAATAGTTCTAAGTGTGCTTTATGAGCTCGCAGCGAGCTCAGCTCTGCTCTAGAAAAGCAAACAGTTCAAAAAACGCGCGTAAAACGCCAGCAAGTCGCGCGCGTGTCTGAAAAGCCGCCTTCCTGCAAACGAACCTAACAAATTTACCAATGTGGCCTAATGACTTGGCAGCTCGATACGAATCCTGCGGCAGATATTTTACCAGCGATAAGCGATTATAAATATTTTACAAACTATATTAAATATGAGATACAAGTGACTGGGGAGAGGGAAGAGGGCCGATCGCCGGTTCTAACTTCTAGCGATTGCCTTATCTGGCGGCGCGCATCTCTCAGAGATCTTTCTCGGCGATAGCTGCCACAGCTGCAGCATTAAGCCTGGCCAGTGCGCGGTTCGGGCCATGTGAAATCAATTTTGCTGCGTTGTTGTACTTAATTAAAAAAAATACAAAGATGAAAAGGCGCAGGGAATACCTGAGCAACTAAGCGAACTCAGCCGCGCATACATTAAGTAGCTGTCCAAGGTGCAGGATCCCTTTGAGCACTTCATTTTTTGGTCTGCTCAATTAGCAGCCTGTAGGGGCAGCCAACAGCCTTGCTGTGTGGCCAGCTCTGATATCAATATAAGAAATTCCAATTTCGAAATTCCCAAAATTCCTAAGCTAATTTCTCTGCTAGGTTAGCGATAAATCAGAGTGCGTCCAAACATTGTGTGAGGTCCCGCGTCCAATCAATGAATACTCTTTGCTGGGCTTTTTTCTATATTCTTTATTTTTGTGTGTGTGTTGCTAGTGTTTGTCCTTTTTGACCGCCGCCTTTGTTAAGGACACTTTTCCACGCACAAACACAAACACACACACACATTAATCAAACATTAGCTCATAAATCGGTCAATGTTTTATTATTTATTTCGGCGTTCGGCTTATTGAATTTGCTCGGTATCAAAACATTCATCTAAATCATAATTCCAATTGTTAAGCGTGGGTAAAAATTGGAGGACAAATATATTTCGGCTATTATACGAAATTGTTGTTTTTTTTTTTTTTGGCCAGACTAATGAGAACACGTGTGTGCGAGTGTGCGTGTCAGGTGCGTGTAGCTAGTAAAGGTGCCTCGAGTGGGAAATTGGAGGTAAAAGGTATGAGATAAACTCCTAATACACAAAAGTCGCTCAGGTAAACACATTAGGGTATATATTCTCAGAATAGTCAGGGAAATTACTTATCAAGTATTTTCAATTAACAAAGTGCTACAAGTTAATAAAAATGGTTAACTTACGATCGAAATCAAACTTAAATATCAAAAAACAGATTTTGTTAGGCAATCGGATTAAGTTATTGAGTATTTCAAATAATTGTATTTATTTATTTAAGAAAATGTTAAGACCCTAACGGTTTGAGGTGTAGTTCAAAACATTTCGTTAATCAATTATTATTAAATTGAAATAGCAGTTGTCCGATACTAAAGTTTATTTAGCTAGCTAAAGCCTATGCATTTAAATAAATTTACTTATTCTTGAGACAGTTGAGGACATGCTATAAACACCACAAACTACATTTAATATCCGCGCCAACGAGTAATTAATGGCTTTTTCAAGAGGTATTAAGAGTATAATAACTGTCTCCGGGCACAAGGTCAGTTTCTTTGGGGGGCACTAAATCAAATTGCCAGGGGTGGGTCGCCTGGAAGTATGCAACTGCAGCCGCTTTCACTGCCAAAAGGAAAATGTGAAAAGTGAAAATAATTGCATAGTTTGCCGTAATAAACACACACACACACACGCAGGGAGACACACTTTGATTTATAGCCTGACCGCAAAACGTAGCGCCTAATGCAACTTTAAATCAATTTAAACTAGCTGCAAAATGGGGCATGGCGAATGTGCCACATGGCCCATATGCAACCGTATGTCGCATGCCGCATGCCACACGGCCAAATAGCTCGTAATTCAGCATGTAAAATGCATAAAATTTCATTTTTGCTCATAATTTATTGTCAACCCGAGCGGAAGGCGGAGAAAGGCAGAGAGCTGGCCGCAAATGAAAGGTGTGTCCCGAGCAGCTCGAGCCCAGAATCGTGTCCTTGTCCAGGCGCCTACCTGAGCTCGGGCCAAACTATTTTGTAGGCGTTGTGAAAGGTTTCGTTGCGCTTGGCTGGCTGCCGCTTTCGAGCTCTGCCACACTTTCACCTTTCCCGCACTCGCAGCAGCCGCGTTGCAGTTGCAGTTTTGGCCTATTGTGCGAAGCCTTTGTGTAATTTCAGCAGCAGCAGCAGCAGCAGCAGCTGAGGCTTCCACGTGGCCTTGGCACGGGTCGGCATGCACATAATCCAATATATTTTGGGGGCGTGTGGGTGTGTGCCTCATGCATGCAGCTTATTGCGTCTAATTGCAGCCGCAGCAATTCCAGTGAATCAGGCACAGATCTAGGCATGAGTCACTCGACTCTCAGTCCGCGGGTCAATTTGAATTTTTCCAACGAAACGAAAAATCATCAATGAACTAAATTTACATATCAAATTGAGTCTCAGAGAACACACAATATATTTAAATATATCTATCGCAACAGGCAAAGGTCTTATCTAAGGCGCCATTTGAAGTTCATTTTAGACGCATTACCTGGCAATCGACTGAGAAATCATGAGCACATCATGTGCTCCTCCTCTGGCTCTTGTTGCTGTCTCTGCCTCTGCCGCTGCCGCTGCTGGCTGTTGCACTAACGGACGCCAAAAACATTTAGTGGCAAGTCTCGCTGCCTTATCAAGAAAATTGTGTAAACCACTTGAGACGAAACGCACGCAACGAGCGACTCGTCTGAATTAGGGGGAAGGACTGTGTATATTTTCATTTTTCTTATTTTTGTGTATTTCGAGAGGTTTTGCCTTCTTAGACATTTGTTTATTTATTTCTGGCACGGGCCTAATTTGACCTTAGAATTTTTAGTAGTATAATGACTAGACATGGAGAGTTTTTGTTTTAATTAAATATTTATTGCGCATACTGACTTCATTAATTTTCTTAATTATTGTTTTTGCATATCATACAAACTTATATTTGATCTATCATACAAAATATTAATATACCATCCTCAGAGACTTGTCCACTTTTTTAGCCAACCTCTCCCATAGTGCCCAATCGCTTAAGTAGAACTTGTTAATGGACACGTTTTGGCCGTTGACAAGTGCGCGTCTCGTTTGCCAAAAGAAATGACTGGCAATTAGAGGACAATTCCTGGCAATTGCTGTTGTACTGAACCTAATGACACTGTCAATTTCGGCTGTCAGACGCACGTGACTTTGGCGCAGTTCGCGTAAGGGCAGAGTAAGCATGAGCAGGGGCTAGAGGTTGCCGCCTGACCCACACACGAAGCCCACAGGGAATTTAACAGCAGATAATACTAGCAATATTTATAGAGCTGTCATAAGAAGGGGCAACATTGATATGACGTCTCCCAGTTACTTTTCTGTGGCACAGCATCACGTGCTGCAGTTGGCTTTCATTTGTCAGTGACATGTGCCACAAAAAGAAGACGCACAAAGGATATTTTCTAAATATTATACATACTCTCTTATTGTGCGTGTGTGTGATTTTTGAATGGCATAAATGGATTATAGTTGAATGCGATTTGTGTATTCATAAGTGTCATAATTCATATGAAATCTGTGCCAGTTGGGCTAAAATTGAAAAGGTGTCGCATGTGGCACGAATAGTTTATTGAAACCCTATCCGTCTCGCTTTCTCTATC